AAAGGAACTTCACAAACTCTATTTGCATTTCAATTTTCAAATCTTCAAAAACAACCTATATGCTTTTTAAAAGCACAAACCTAAAAACTAGAATTCAAAGCAAAAAGCAAGATAATTAGTACTTACTTTGATTGAAAGAAGGAGAGGTGAAACATGATAACACAAATGGCATAATCGAAGAAGTAGAAGCAGAAGAAATAGAAGTAGATGAAATAGAAGATGGAAGCTGCGGTGAAGAAGAAGCATTTCGGATTTGAAGAAAAAAAATTGAAATTTTAGTAAAGATATAACTAAACTTAACAAAATATTATGAGTATAAATAAAAAAAATATATTATTATAAAAAACCACCGATTTGTTAGTTTACAAAATTTACCAAAATAAGAGTTAAAATTACCATAAAATACCATTCAATAACAATAGCAATAACATTTGTTTGAAAGTGAATCCAAATGAGACAAAACTACCCCATTATCTTACCCTACATTAATTACCAATTATTCAAACAAAACATAAGTAAATTTTCTTAGCACGTGTCACCGTTTTCATTTGGCACGTATCTTGACTTTTGGAGGAAAATTTCGTCGGATGCAGTACAGACTCTCCCATCGTCTTCACTTCATCAGCCGCTCATCACCCTGTGTAGGTCCGCATTCCGATACACGCAACTCAGAGATGATGCGCATTACGTACCTTTCCTCCTCTCCTTTTACTTTTTGAACGTCTTCCACTCCTCACTCGCTGGCCCATCGCTACTAATAAGTCTGAAACCAAGCTACTCCCTCTTTCAGTTTCACTCCATAATCGATCTCGACCAGTATTCGTCTTCTTCTCTTCTGTAGATATACCCCATCTATAATTCATATACATATACGTACGAGCATTATACTTTTCTTACCAGATGCTCACGCTAGCTCCATCTTCTGCACCTAGTCTTTCGTTCACACACTTTCTGTAGAACCCTAGATCTCGGTTTTGAGCTTACTTGTTGCTCGAAAAATCAGTCGATTAAGAATGGAGCTTCGATCTGTGGTTTTTTTGTTGCTGACGAGTGTTATCTTTGGCGAGAGCGTCTTCGCCACCTTCTCGTCGAAGCTTTACCACAGATTCTCAGAGGAGGTAAGGGCCGTGCATAGAGTTTTCAGGAGCGGAAACGGGTCGGATCTCTTGCCGGAAAATGGTAGCATGGAGTACTACCAGCTGCTTGTGAAGAGTGATTTCGAGAGGCAAAATATGAAGCTTGGTACCAAGCACCAGCTCCTCTTCCCTTCTGAAGGAAGCAAAATGATATCGCTTGGAAATGACTTTGGATGGTATGGTTTCGGCGGGTTCTCTAATCGGTTTTCTCTAATCACTTATTTGCTTTTTTTTTCTTCATGCATTTTTAGTGGCTATTCATTCTTTCTTCTTCGTTGACTTTCAATTGACCATTTTGAGTTTTATCAGTCTTATGTTTGCTGACTCGACTGTACTTGCTTAACCGTCCTCTTTATAAATAACCTTTCGTTGCTGTTGACAAGTTGCATTTGATGACCTGGTTGAACTGGGAGAAGCTGTAGGTAGGTTTTTTTTTAATCCAAACTCCAAAGAAATATCTTTATTTTTCCCGATGTTTGGTTTTTTTAGTCAAAAATCCAAAGAGATAATTTTCGGGAACAACTCTCGTAGAGTATAATGAAATTTCTCATGTAAACGAAGGCTATTTGTTGGAGTTTTCTAAACTAGGAGAACACATCCTGGGGGTTTTAGGAAAGTAAGTTCCACTGCCAACAACTTTCATCTGGGAAATGGA